TATAGACATAGACCAAAAACTATCAATTTGAGCATGATCTTAAAATTTGAAAATCCAGTCTTTGCAGTTCTCTATATATTTTAAACACATTATTCTGCACCCATTGATAGTTCCAAATGTTCTATAAAATATTTATAATTTAAAATCCCTTTTGGATCTTTTTTGTTTTATTGTTTTATTTATGAATGTACATGTGTTTGTGTCTGTATAACAGAGAGAATATATGCATATAAGTATTTGCATTATATTACACGTTCATTATATTACACTATTACACGTTCACATTATTCAGATTGCTAATTTTATCTTCTTGCTGCATATGTGTAGCTTGAGCAAGGCTTTTAGCATAGCGTGATTTAATATTTTCTTTTACCCAATTTTCTGGTCTGAATGTACTTTCTATAACTACTCTGATGCCAATCTTTTGTGATACATAATCGAAATGAGTATTTCAGCTTCTAGAAGCTTGAAAAACAACTCAGAAAGTTTTTACCTCCTCAATGGTGTCTCAGAATTTTCAGATTCATTGTTTTGCCTGTTAGGGAAGGTAATAATCTTGGTGTTGGTAACATTAATTGTTAATATCTCCACATCGTAATAATTGTGATAGCTATGGTATAGTAATAATGATCCCAATGCTTTTCTAAGACCCACTGATATCAAGAGCAAAATTATTGCATCATTAGTACTACACTAATATGATTTGAGGGATTGCTTCTCCCTGATTATATCTATCCATCTGTCTGACTTGGCCTTTTCTGTTGTGGTACCAGCTTTATGGAGCACCCCTCCCCCACAAAGTGAGATTGACTCCATCCCTGTTGATTTTCTGAAAGTCCTTCCAAATCTGGTTATGCTGTTAGGCCACAGGAACCCAGGGGACAGGTGAGGTACTTAGCTCTATTATTATTGACAACTGCTGCTCTTTCTTACATTTTAATTGTGATTTAAAAAAATATGTTAGTTTTTATATATTAATTGTTTTATATGGGCAGCCATGTATATTTGATGAATGAATGAATGAATGAGCCCACTACTCAAGTAAGGGAATTTATGTTACTTAAAACCTACTAAGCATTTTTCCCTAAGGAAAATAGTATCACCTACCAAGAAACTGAATTCATGTTCATGACCTAACATCTCCTCACTGCAGTAAGATAGACATGTTTATTACTTACGGGTAAGCAGTTCTGTCTTTTTGAACTTCAGAATAAATGACTAGTCAGCATAGTCAATTATGATCTTCTGGTCAGGTTTTGTGTCATGAATGAAAATCATCAACAGCTAGGAATGTTTAACTTTTTTGAAGACTGACTTGAAGATACAAATGTACAGAGTTATTATTGTATGCTCAATTACAATTTGATAATATTTTTGTCAATTAAAACTATTTTGGGCCTGAGGAAGACAAAAAGCATAGCCAGTAAATATTTATTTGAAATAAATAGAAAAATATATAGACGCAAACATACATACTGCTATAGTCACCTAAAATAGGATGTACGGAGCTGTTTATGTCACAAGGCCTTGAGAAGAAAATGAGCAGAAGCAAATAAAAGATGATTATAGGTTATATTGTCCCAGTTAACTAACAAACAACAGACACATACTGTATCCTGAAAGTTTACTTTTAAAGTTATTGCTTCACTTTCAACTGATCTCTATTTCGATATCCAAGGAATTATCCACATAATATCCCAGATCAAAATGCTCAGATTGTTCCTGATATTTCCTACTAAAATGTCTTTTTCTGTGCTTAGACATGAGTCAGCATTCCTTACCTGAGGTTGCTGAGTAGCAGTTGGTTTCTGAGGAGATGGTATGGGTGTTTTAGATAAAAGTTGGTTCATTCTGCTTACAACAAGCTCAGTTATAAGCTGTTTGTCTTCAGCCTGGTGCTCACCAATCAAAGGTGTTGCAGAACCCATAACCTAGAAGAGATAAAAACTAGTTAGCTAAAGAAAGGTAGTAACTTTTAATGCTGTGTTCCACTCCACTATGATTATCATTTATTTTGAACTGCATGGAAAAAATAGTTAAAAATAAAGGATTGCAAAACATTTTAGATTTTAAAAAATTCTCCTTAACAAGTCTTAGGCAACTAGGCTTATTAGAAAGGTTGAAAAGGAATGCTTTGTTTTATTTTTTTATGAGAAGAAACCTGAACTGGAATTTATTAAAAGTGGACAATTCTAGTTTGGAAAATATATTTGTTAGACTGGAGTACAGATATTGCAATGGCTTGATTGCTGCATGAAGATGTGCAGAAAGTTTGCAGACCCAATACTACAATTTCGTTGCACCCGCTTGCGAGTGTAATGACAAATAAATTCTTATGTCTCTTATGTCTCTCTCAATGTTCCAACAACAGATCATTTTTGAAATGCAAATAATATGCATTAGCTGTGCATCCAACATATATAACCAATGGCTATGCACTAATATAGCTCTATACATTGACCAATGGTTACCATTATGTGCTTGAGGAAATCTGGAGAAAGAAAGCCCATAATGCCAGGCATGGTCAAATCAAAGTTTTACATTCCTGCAAAACACTTAGTAAAAACCAGCCTAGAAAATAGATATCTAAAACTTTAAATACAGTTTTTAGAAAACATTTGCTAAACATACCATGGTTTAATTCTAGGGGTGTGCCTGAACTATATTGGCACAGTAGCTTTACCTGCACAGTGAACTGTATTAAAAAGCATCAATTATTCATGCAGACTCCTTATTCATTCATTCCATAAAATTATTATTTGTCAATATCAAGTTTGTATTTTTAATAATGTAAGATATTTTCTTGCAACATTATTTCTACTTACTGTAGAACCAGTTTCATGCTGGATATATAGAAAAGGTGTCTTTTTTCCACTAATCAAGTATGAAATGGCTTTATTTGCTCAAAGATATTTGACAATGATCTGTTTTATTATATTTAATTGCCCTCTGAAATGACTCTAGTATTTCCAGGATGAATAATACCTTACAAACATTTTTTTTATTTAATAAACAAATGCTTGTGAAAGACATATACAATAGTCATCAATTGAGTGATTAATCATACTTGAATGATAGAACTAGAAAGTAGTGAACTATCAGGCTAACCAGCAGATCAGAAATCTACTATTTACTTTGTTGCCTCTACCACAAATGAAAAACAGATTGAAGATAAAACAGTTGCGTTCCCACAAAGCTGAATGACATGAACCACATTTCATTTTTTAAACACACACACACACACACACACACACACACCAAAACACATTAACAAAGAAAAAAGCCACATGTTTTGTTAATGGGCTACATTGGTTGATAAAAACCGTATTATGTAATATTGTAATGTAACTGTATTAGTGTAGTAAACTATACATATACTACATTGTTTTAAACAAAAAAGCAGTTTATTTATTTATTTATTTTTACTTTTTTTCCTCCTAATCAGAACTGACAAAAGCCAACAAAGCTCTTGAACAATATTTTTTAAGTTTAGAAACCTAAATAAATAATAACAATTATAATTCCTAACCATATGCTTGATAACTGTGAAAGAATTTTTCAAATCTAGAGAAGCAGGATTGAACTTTGTGGTAAAATCATAATTCTGATACTATCAATTTACTTGGGATAAATTTAGGCCAACAGATTTGTCTGTTACTCTCATCTAAAATCTTTTTTAACAAGTAGTAATAAATGGGTACTTTCCAAGTTTTACTAAGAAGCTTTTATTTTAAAAGCCAATTTCACAATATTACATATGATGAGTGTTTACCATTACCATTAAGAAAGCATTCAATATTGCCTTTTCAGAAAATTATACATTATAAAATAAATTGTTATAAAATTTATTGGATAACAATGTTTTCAGGTTTGCAATTTATATTTTACGCACTGAGGATATTATTTCATATGCATACTTTTACAATCTTTTTTCGAAAGGGCTTTTCCTTTTAGACCCCTTAAAAGAGAAAAAAAGATAATTTTTTTTTTTTGTAATTTCTATGCATTTTGTCAGGAAACCCAGATCTGTGGCTTGGGTAGTGATCTCCGCCTAGAAAGGACAAAGTTTACAGTTAGAAAAAGTACACTGCTCAAAAAAATAAAGGGAACACAAAAATAAGACATCCTAGATCTGAATGAATGAAATATTCTTATTAAATACTTTGTTCATTACATAGTTGAATGTGCTGACAACAAAATCACACAAAAAATATCAATGGAAATCAAATTTAGCAACCCATGGAGGTCTGGATTTGGAGTTACACTCAAAATTAAAGTGGAAAAAAACACAACAGGCTGATCCAACTTTGATGTAATGTCCTTCAAACAAGTGAAAATGAGGCTCAGTAGTGTGTGTGGCCTCCACGTGCCTGTATGACCTCCCTGGGCATGCTCCTGATGAGCTGGCAGATGGCCTCCTGAAGGATCTCCTCCCACACCTGGACTAAAGCATCCCCCAACTCCTGGACAGTCTGTGGTGCAACGTGGCATTGGTGGATGGAGCGAGACATGATGTCCCAGATGTGCTCAATTGGATTCAGGTCTGGGGAACGGGTGGGCCAGTCCATAGCATCAATGCCTTCATCTTGCAGGAACTGCTGACACACTCCAGCCACATGAGGTCTAGCATTGTCTTGCATTAGGAGGAACCCAGGGCCAACCGCACCAGCATATGGTCTCACAAGGGGTCTGAGGATCTCATCTCGGTACCTCATGGCAGTCAGGCTACCTCTGGTGAGCACATGGAGGGCTGTGCGGCCCCCTAAAGAAATGCCACCCCACACCATTACTGACCCACTGCCAAACCGGTCATGCTGGAGGATGTTGCAGGCAGCAGAATGTTCTCCACAGCATCTCCAGACCCTGTCACGTCTGTCACATGCTCAGTATGAACCTGCTTTCATCTCTGAAGAGCACAATGCCAGTGGCGAATTTGCCAATCTTCGTGTTCTCTGGCAAATGCCAAATGTCCTGCATGGTGTTGGGCTGTAAGCCCAACCCTCACCTGTGGACATCGGGCCCTCATACCACCCTCATGGAGTCTGTTTCTGGCCGTTTGAGCAGCCACATGCACATTTGTGGCCTGCTGGAGGTCATTTTGCAGGGCTCTGGCAGTGCCCCTCCTGTCCCTCCTTGCACAAAGGCAGAGGTAGCAGTCCTGATGCTAGGTTGTTGCCCTCCTATGGCCTCCTCCATGTCTCCTGATGTACTAGCCTGTCTCCTGGTAGTGCCTCCATGCTCTGGACACTACGCTGACAGACACAGCAAACCTTCTTGCCACAGCTCGCATTGATGTGCCATCCTGGATGAGCTGAACTACCTGAGCCACTTGTGTGGGTTGTAGACTCCGTCTCATGCTACCACTAGAGTGAAAGCACCGCCAGCATTCAAAAGTGACCAAACCATCAGCCAGAAAGCATAGGAACTGAGAAGTGGTCTGTGGTCACCACCTGCAGAACCACTCCTTTATTGGGGATGTCTTGCTAACTGCCTATGCTTTCCACCTGTTGTCTATTTCATTTGCACAACAGCATGTGAAATTGATTGTCAATCAATGTTGCTACCTAAGTGGACAGTTTGATTTCACAGAAGTGTGATTGACTTGGAGTTACATTGTGTTGTTTAAGTGTTCCCTTTATTTTTTTGAGCAGTGTATATTTTCATTTGCTCAAAGTCAAAAGTCTGGTCAAATTAAGTCGGATTTTGCCTTTGCTAAACAGGTGTCAGCATTTTAGGAAAGAACTATTAGGATTTAGTTTTATTGTTGCGGGATATAATAATACGTATTTGACAGTCTGCAAGAATTTCCTTCTACATTCATCCATCCATCCATCCATCCATCCATCCATCCATTCATCTATCCATTCATTCATCACATTTCTATGCTGTCCTTTTGATCTGACTTTTATGTCATGCAGAATTTAGAATTTTGGGTCTCTTTTCCATGCTCCTTGTTTTCCCAAAAGATTAAAATATTATTTATCTCTTTTATCTGCTAACAGCTTTTGAATACCTTTATCAACTTTATCTCTATTTTCCTCAGTAGATAGATTTATCAAGGTTACATTATCCTAGTTTATTGGTTAAACAATCCTCAACAATTAGTATTTTCTATGAATGAAACAATATTTAATCTATAAACCACTAGAGGCAGACATTTAACTGACCTGAGTAGCATATATCAATATTTAGCACAGGAAAGTATATTTTGTATCTTTAAAGGATATATAACTATATTTGCAATTTCCCATTTCATGTAATGTATATTTTGTTTGTTTGTTTGGAAAGATAACCCATAAATCTTGTACCCAAAGGACTCAGGGACAGTTTGCTTAAAAATATGGAAATATTTTGATATTTGGCCTAAGAGTGTATGTTCAGAACCAACTCACGGTATGATTGTGCTTTCCCATGATATGTAGCTTTATTGAATATATGTAGCTTTCTTGAACTATCTGAATTTTAGCATTCTAAACTACCTATTTTCCCAAAGAAAGAGGTGTATGTGTGTGTGTGTGTGTGTGTGTGTGTGTGTGTGTGTGTGTATGTATGTATGTATGTATCTAGAGAGAGAAAACGAGGGGGGGGGAGAGAGAGGGAGATGTGACTTCTACCATTTCAATGTTTTAGAAATATTTTAAGATCAGGCTTTTTTCCAACTCTGGGTTTAGGGTGAACTATTTCCTGGATGTTATTTATGTGATTTTCTCCCAATTATCATTATTCTTTCTTTTTTAAAATGTTACATTATTTTTAAAAAATTGCAAGCTGCCCAGCGCCTTTTTGGAATCAGGAGACCTCAAAATCCAAGATATAAATACTTAATTAAAAAATAACAGCAATGACAGAGAAAAACAGACTTATTGTACCTCAAAAATATAATCCTTTCCATCCTTCCCATGGACTGCTTTGACAGCACATATATCCAAGCCACCAAACATCTCAGAACAGCTATCAATCCAGAGCTTGTATCTAAAATTTGAAGACAGGTTCCCATTAGCTTAAAAATGCAATTTTGTCTTAACAGCAATTCAGCTAAACTGCATTCAGAATATTTTCTTTGTATCCCATTCTTAAAAGTTCAACATAGAGCAGTATTTGGAATATGGTATATTTAAGTTGTCATATATTTATAATATACAAATGATCCAGTGAAGCAGCTACAACATATCTATTTTAGGCATCAAAATGCATTATCATAAAGTTCTGAGATTTCCCATTAGAATATTCAAGAGAGCTTAATATGAGTGAATTAGATCTGGGGAATATGTATATCATGCTATGTTTCTTATTATTATACATTTTTCATTTTTAAACTACATTTCTTTTAATATCATCAATACACGAGTGTTTTCTTAGCTTTGCGTATAAAAAATGTCTCTACAAAAGTAATTTATAGAAGCCCATGTATCAGGAACAATCTTCATGTATGCTTATGTAGTCAAAGAGACATCTGCTACCTTGTGTTGTTCGCACTGCAAGTAATGCAAGCCTTGTGTTCCACAGGCCACGTGGGTGGCGCAGCCTTGTGTTCCCACGCAGTCTGAATTAATTGCTTTGGGGGGTGCTTTGGGGATGAGATTTCTCTGCGGACCACCAAAATTTTCTCGTGGACCACTAGTGGTGCCCGGCCCACTGGTTGGCGACCACTGTTCTAAAGCACAATTAGATGTGTGAACCAATCTCATATCTTCAGTAGTTACTCAAATGAAAAACTAGACTCATGGAGGAACTTAATATTTTACACTGTAGTCTAAAAAACAACAATCCAAGTGAGGAGATAATCAAATGGATTAACTTCAGCTAGTGAAAGAATTTTATCAAAGATTCCTTTTGTCAGCAGTAGAAATCAGTTTTCCATATGGTCTTGCATATACCTCCCAATCAGCTCCCAATCAGCTGGATTCTTGATAAAAGTGTGAATGGGCTGGACATGATATTTCAGATTTTTTAAGATAGTTTTTCATGTAAGCCTAGGTTGAGAAGTTTGATGAGGTAGGCAGAATATCATGGCTCCAGGTTTTGTTACATTTTTCTATGATATGGAAAGTTTGCACTGGATGAGGACTAGATGGAGTGTACCCCAAATTAGACAAGATGTCCTGTTAAGACTTGGAATTGAAAGAACAGGGCGGTGGGGTGAATAATCACAAGATGTTTGGAGATAAAGAGATGTTTGGGACAGAACCTGTAGGAATGGAACCAGTAACTGAGCTCCCCATGTATCTCATCTGTGCAGATCTATGTTCCCAACCATCAGTTTGCTGAAGTTTAATGGAAACTTCCAGCACAAATTAGAAAATTACATTTCCACCCATATGAGCCTGACGTTTGTGGCTGCTGATCCCACCTGGTACAGCTTTATGGTTCTCAATTCATCTGAATCTGTCTCCAGAGTAGAATGTATGAATCAGGGAAAGTGACACTATTCTGAGAGTTGTTTTCCTTTTGGATTTATGCCTGTACATAAGAGCTTGTTAGAGGACTATCTTCAAACAGCTTGACTCTTCTGGTCATAGAGTTATTGTTTGGCAAATAAACACAATCAAATATTTGGGAAATATGTTCTGAGATAACTAGGCATGTAATGAGCTGCTGTTTTTTTCATTCTCTTCTTTTTGGAGAATTTATTAGGTGAGATTTCTTTAACCTGGACTAGACATCTGCCTGAAAGGCTAACTGGGGAAGAATTTTTGGGCTCATAAATGCCTGAATGCTATTTTGGGTTAGAACTGTTACTCTTCCTTCACAGAATTAATTGAGTTTTTATGTTCACATGATACTCTGGCCCCATTAGGATAACAGTGTCATGCAAATCTAGGCATAATTTTATGCTTCAGTGGAAAAAAAAACCCAAGTGATTTTGTAGCATGCATGCTGAGAATTTTTTTTAAAATAAAAACGTTAAAAAATGAATAGCATCTATTCTAATGCCATGAAACTTCTCTTCTCCAGAAGAGGTGCTTTGGAACACGTGGCCCAAAACAGCTTTTTGAATTGCTAAAGCTACCACAACTACTTCATATTTAAGTTGTTAGTTCTGAAGATGCTCCTGAAAATCTCTGCATGTACATGTTTCTGAAGTGGTCCTACCATTTCTACAGTTTCCATGGGTTCTGATTTCAGTAGAAACTAAAAATTACAAAAAGAAAAAGCTAAAAATGGAGAAAATAAAAAGAAAAACTCTCGAGTAAACAATTTACAGGAAGACTTATTTACCTGTCTGTCATAGCAATTTGTTCTAACATTGCAGATCCAGTGTTTGTCTTCCAATTTCCAGATATAGAAGTTCTCCTGTGGAGAAATAGAAAAGTTCAAAAAGCACACATGTCTTTTCAATTTAATTTTGTTATTAACTGTTCATTTATTAGGAAAAAATGCTTCCCAATACAAGTGTGAAATATAAAATAAAAAAAATCCTGAATAAACAAAAATATGGAATTTGATTTGATCAAGAAAGAAGATACTGAAAAAGAGCATTGGGCTTGCCTGAAACGCATCTTCTCGTTGTACGGGAGGAGAATCCAAAGCGTGAGCTGTCTCCTGCTTCCTTGCTTAAAGATGGAGTCAATCAAAGTTTAGTCCAGCCTCCTTTCCACTGCGCATGCCCAGTTTTTGATGAAGGCTGATGATTGACTTGGAGAGTTCTTTGGTGCTTGTTCTTGACCATTCTGGGCTTGGGACTAACTATCTAAGGGTGGGATTTGGATTCTCCTCCCGTACAACGAGAAGATGCATTTCAGGTAAGCCCAACGCTCTTTCTCAATTGTATGGGTTGGAGAATCCAAAGCGTGGGATGTACCCAAGCTAATTGTCCTGAGAGTGGGACAACTCCTTGTCCCGAGCCCCCATCTCCATGTGAACTCTTTGTAGCACTCTTCTTCCAAAGGATGCTTCCGCTGATGCAAATGTATCCAGTTTATAATTTCTGATGAATGGAGATGGCGATGACCACGTTGCTGCCCTACAGATCTCTTCAATCGAGGCCTGTGTGTTCCATGCCGCTGATGTGGCTGCACTCCTGGTTGAATGTGCCGTTATGTTACACGGCAATTGCAATGATTGGCTTTCATAAGCTTTTGTGATACATGTCTTGATCCATCTGCCTATGGTAGATGGTGAAACCCTTTGTCCCAACGAATTCAGTCTAAATTCAGAATTCAGTCTCTTCCATTTTTTAAATGGGCCTTGTTCTCTTAATATAAATGCGTATAGCTCTCCTAACATCCAAGGAGTGCCACTTCCTTTCTCGGCTATGGACTGGTTCTGGGCAGAAGTCTGGTAGTACTAACTCTTGTGCTCTATGGAACATAGAATTGATCTTTGGGATAAAGATCGGGTCTAATCTTAATACTCCCTATTCAGGTGAACTATACAGAGGTCCTCCCTCACGGATAATGCTGCCACCCCTGAAATTCTTCTGGCTGATGTAATGGCTATTAGGAAGGCCACCTTAAGGGTGAGTGAAGGTAGTCCTACTGACCTCAGTGGTTCAAAGGGCTCAGTCATGAGTGCCCTTAGCACCCTTGTCAAGTCCCAAGTAGGGTACCTGTGTATCACTGGTGGCTTTAGATTGGTTGCTCCCCTGATAAATGTGCGGATTAGGGGGTGTCGTGAGAGGGACTCCGAGGTCCTGCAACCCAACACTGAAGCTATCGCTGCTACCTGCCTCCTTAAGGTGTTAGGGGTTAAACCCTTCTCTAGCCCTTCCTGGAGAAAATCCAGCACTTGCGTAACTAACACTGTGGTTGGATCTATTTGTTTCTTGGAACACCAGGTTCCAAATGTTCTCCAAGTAGCATCATAAATTCTGTTCGTTGATGGTTTCCTGGATGCCTGGAGTGTCTGTATTACCTTGTCTGAGCACTCTAAATGCTTTAGTGTGGTCCTCTCAAGTGCCATACGGTTAGTTGCAGCCATTGTGGCTCTGGGTGTTGTATGGCTCCCTGACTCAGTTCTACCTTGTCTGGGGGAATTCTCCATGGTCTGGATACCGACAGATCTACCAGATCTGCAAACCAAGACCTCCTGGGCCAGTGAGGTGCTACCATTAAGACCTACGCCCCCTCTTCTATCACTTTCTTGATTACCCTTGGTATCAAGGGGAGTGGGGAAAATGCATAGAGCAAAACCCTTGGCCATGCTTCTCGGAGCGCATTGGTTCCTTCCACTCCCTGTGTTGGGAATCTCGAGTAGAACCTTGGGAGTTGTGCATTTGCTGGCATCACAAACAGGTCCAGGACTGCTCTCCCGAATCTGTGCGACAGTTCCCTGAACAGGTCCGTGTGTAGGTGCCACTCTGAGTGGTTGACCATTGTTCTGCTGAGCCAATCTGCCTGAGTGTTTTCCACTCCCAATATGTATTCCGCCCTGATTGATAGAAGGTGTGTCTCCACCCAGTGGCCCAATCGCTCTGCTTCTTGCATGAGCACTAGGGAGTGAGTACCCCCCTGCCTGTTGATATGAGCCTTGGTGGTCATGTTGTCTGTCCCACTATCACTGGCCTGAAGGCCCTTAGAGCCAGGTGAGATGCCCTGAACTCCAACCAGTTGATGTTGTTCTTGAGGTCTGACTGAGACCACTGACCTTGTGTAATCTGGCTCTAACAGTGGGCTCCCCAGCCTACTAAACTTGCATCTGTTGTGATAGTCAGTCGGGTGGGTTCCTTGAACCCACATCCCTTTGTCACTGCGGGTGATCTCCACCACTGGAGTGACTGCTTCACTTGGGCGGGGGGGTGCTCGTACCTTGGTTCCTGTATTGCCCTTGCCTGTTCTCTGATAAGGTAATAGGAAGCACTGCAATGTCCTTGTGTGAAGCCTGGCCCAAGGTACTCTTCCCTAGTATTTGTGACAGCAAGTCCAGGGACACCCCCGGAGCTCTGCTCACTTGATTTATTGATGACCTTATGTGGTCCTGCCTTTCCTGTGACAGGTAAACCTTGCAGGACTTGGTATCTATTACAGCTCCTAAGTGTTGTAATTGCCTGGTCAGTTCTAAATGGCTCTTTTCAAAATTCACTGAAAAGCCATGCTCTTTGTAATGTCTGTATCGTGGTTTCTAGATCGCTCTGTGCTCTTAGAGTCGACGTTGACTGTGTTAATATCGTCTAAGTAGCATTGGACTCATATGGGCTTTGTCCTGAGGAAGGCTGCTAGTGCTGCCAGGACCTTGGTGAAAGTCCTCAGTGCTGAGGACAGGCCGAATGGTAGAGCCCTGTACTGGTAGTGTCTCCTTGTGTAACAAAACCGCAGGAACTTCCAATGCCTCCTGGTAATAGGTATGTATAGGTAAGCATCTGTGAGGTCTATTGATGTCAGGACACCCCCCTCCCGTATGCTCCCTAGTATAGCTTGCAGGGACTGCATCTTGAATCTCCTGTATACTATGTGCCTGTTTAGTAATTTGAGATCCAAAATTGGTCTCCACTTTCCCAATGCCTTCTGCACAACAAACAGGTTTGAATAGAACCCTTGTCCCTGTTCGTTCTCTGATACCAGTTGTACAGCCCGAATGTCCAGCAGATGTTGAACTGCTGTTTCCATAATTACCCTTTTGGTTCTGTCCCTTGGCGTCGGGCATCTTCTGAATGAGCTCATGTGTATGGAGATGAATTCCAGAACTAGGCCTTTTTAAAATGTGTCTAGGACCCACTTGTCTGTTGTAGTCAATGCCCATCGGTTGGTGAATAGGCCCAGCCTCCTGCCAATGGGTGCCTTGTTCCGGCCGTCACTTTGTATGCTGGAAGGCCCTGCCAGTTGAACTCTGGAAGGGGCGCCTTCCCTGGGACCGTTGTCCACTCCTATCTCTAAATCCTGACCTATCTGGATGTTTAGTAGGGGTCTGTGTGTACTGTCTCTGTATGTATGGGGAGTGGCTGAAGCCACCCCCCGAGATAGGAAAGGGCTGTTGCCGTGTATATGGAGAAGGTCACCTATCTGCCTGACCAAGTTTCCTGGGTAAGACCTTCCTCTTGTCATTGGTTTCAATCAGTAATGGCTCAATGGCCTCGCCGAAAAGTTTGTCCCCTTTAACTGGAGCTGATGCCAGTTTCCATTTATGTTTCAGATCTGCCTGCCAGTGGCAGAGCCAAACAAGTCACCTTGCAACCACTGAAGCTGTGATGGCCTTAGTTGCGTACTTGACCCCATTAAGTGTGGTGTCTGCTATGAACTCTGTTGTAGCAGTTATTTTGTTCAAATCCTGTTGCAATCGAAGATCGCCAGGTGGCATCCTTTCCTGCATCTGTTCAATCTATATTAGGACTGCTCTGCTAAAAAATGATGCTGTGGATGTTGCCTTTACTGCCCATGCTGCGGCCTGGTGAACTTTTTGTAGAGCTTTTCTGTTTTCTTATCCTCCCCTTTTAGACCATCCTCAGCTTCGTTAGCCAACACTGTAGCAGAAGTGGAGGCTACCACAGGGCTGTCTATCGTGGGAACTGGGAATAGGTCTGCTAGTTCCGCATTATAAAATTTCCTCTCATTCCCCCCTGGCGTTGGGAAAATAACTGGTCTGTCCAACTGACCTTCCACCACTTCTCTGAACAATTCAGGTGAAGGTATGGATTCACTTTCAACCTTGGTTCTAGCAAAAAATCTATCTTTGGGATCAGATGGTTCTAACTCAGACCCTTCTGCCCTGTGATTCTCCCCAGGCCTGTTGCTATCTTCGCCTTCCCCAGCAGCATCTTAAACAGCTGGTGACGAAATAGACCTGTGAACATTGGAGTTTCTGGTTCATTAATTTCCTCATCTGAGAAAGCTGACTCCCTATATTCTTCCTCTCTTGAAACAGAGGCCTCACTGTGAGTGTCTGATCTACTGGAACTGTCTCCCTGGAAGCCCAGTTCCTCCCTTACTCCTCCTGCTCAAGTAGAATGATGATGAGCATCCTGTCTCCTTTCATTATGTATCAGGCTAGTTCTGTTACCCTGACTGTCCCTGAATTCTGCCATCATTTCTTTCATCATAGCCCTCATTTCCTCTTTAAAGGACTGTTCCCTGACTTCTGATGCTGTGGAGGAAGAGCTAGACTCTGTTGAAAATCTCTTTCTCTTGGGGGGAGGGCTCTTCATTGCATGCCTGAGAGCATTGTCTTTCTGATTCACTCAATCCTTCGTTCACACAAAGAACAGGCTGAAAAGGCTGATCTTCAGCACCCTCTAGTGTTGTGCTCCTTTCCTGATACTTCGTTTTCATTGGTTTGCCTGTTGGAGCATGGGAATTTCCATTCTTCTCCGCCTTCTTTTCCACCCTTGGGAAGCATTTCTCAATGGCCCTTTGTCTCCTTAATGCCTCCCTCTCATCTGCCTTGGACACTCTACTGAGAGGCCTTTCTGAAGCTCTCCCAGCCTCTTGGGGTTCCTTTCTGCTTTGCTCTCTACTCAAACTGGGCGTAGGGGATTCCTGTTCCTCTAGGCTTGCCTCTGTTTCAGAAAATTCAGCCATAGTCTTTCCCTTGGGCTTTTGCCGATAGAGTATACTCAGACCAGCCTGAGCATGGACTCTAGCCTCCCTTTCTCCCGGGTAGGCTTGTGTGGCTGTGATGGAAGCTTGCTCAGCCTAAGACTGAGTTTGCCCCCAATTAAAGAGAGCGCTGGAGGCTTCTGCGGCTTCTGGTTTGTTTAACGAAGGCTCTGGGAAAGCTGAGTTAATTTGCCCTCCTTATTTCCTAGCTGATCAAGAGCCCGCCCGCTCTTACTGAGGCTGCTGCCGCTTATTCTCTTAACACCAAACAGCTATGTGGGCTTTCCCGTCTTGGGATGAAGTCCCTGCTTTCACTTACTCACGGTTTGCTGACTTTCACTCTTTCTCTTGTCTCTCTTTTTTTCTCAAAGAATCCAAAGCGTTGATCCTATATTTTTTATCTTTCTTTCTGAGCACTCTCTCCTCGTGACCTCTTTGCATGAAGACAGAGTCAGAAACTGGGCATGCGCAGTGGAAAGGGGGCTGGACTAAACTTTGACTGACTCTGTCTTTAAGCAAGGAAGCAGGAGACAGCCCACGCTTTGGATTCTCCGACCCGTACAACTGAGAAAATAGCTTTCTGCATTGAATAAACTTGCAGTTGTTTCAACAACACAGAGGATCAGCTTAAGAATTTATGTTCAGGGAAGCCCTGTTAAAAGAGATAGCATTCCTGCTCAACTTAAATAGATATCTGAATATGACAGATGGCATATTTTCTCTTAAATATTCTCTTTACAATTTTCTTAATTGTCACTGTGTCAATAATTATATAATTTCATAAAATATATGATTAATCAATACGCCATGATTTAACCAGTATTATACTTCAACCAGTATTATAAGTAAAACCTTTGTGCTTCTGTACTGTATTTTTATGGAAAAATTATATTTCAAACAAGTAGATAGTTTCCTATATGTTTATTTTATTTTTTCTTTATGTACACATATGTACTAAAGACAAATTGCTTGTGTGTCCAATCACACTTGGCCAATAAAGAATTCTATTCTATTCTATTCTATTCTATTCTATTCTATTCTATTCTGTTCTGTTCTGTTCTGTTCTGTTCTGTTCTGTTCTGTTCTGTTCTATTCTATTCTATTCTATTCTATTCTATTCTATTCTATTCTATTCTATTCTATATATGTGCTTTTGTGGTGTTAACTTTTTACACTGTGTCACTTCCTTGAAATATACTAATAATGCAATGCCCACATGTATAAATCTTTAAATATTACAAGAGCTTTGAAATTGGGAATTCCCAACTACTTGTAATTTAGTTAACTGGACACATTAATTAATTATCCCATAAACAACAGAAGATTGCAGTACTAGAGATTTTGAAAACAGCATGGAAGCTGTCAAGGCAGCTTATATTTCTCTGCCACCTCTTAAATTAATCGGTCTGTGTTTGTGCTAAAATCACAAGTATACAAAAACAGGTTAAAAACTACTGTGGAACATCAAGCTCCTGACTAAACATATCAAAATAATGTTGATTTGGGGTATAGCTATGACTCAAGTATTTTCATATTTAATATGATTTAACTGTAAAAGCTAAAAGAATTTGCATCAAAGGTTCTAATGTCCCATCCTTTGAGAAGATGTACCAATTATTAAATAACAGTGCCAAGATTCATTCTATGTATAAATATGAAACAAACAAACAAACAAAACCCCTAGAAAAATAGACACAGTACTGTCTTATAAAACCACTTTACTATAGCATCCCTCACAGATGGCCATTTAGCCTTTGCTTAAACATCTCCACTGGGAAGTTTTGATAGCAGTCTTCCAATATTTGAGGGGTTGCCACAGGGAGGAAGGGGTCAAGCTATTTTCTAAAGCACCCATAGGCCAGGCAAGGAACAATGGATGGAAACTGAACAAGGAGAGATTTAACCTGGAAATAAGAAGAAACTTTCTGACAGTGAGAACAATCAACTGATGGAACAGCTTGCTCTTGGAAGTTGTGGGAGCATCATCACTTGAGACTTTCAAGAAGAGATTGGACTGACATCTGTTAGAAATAGTAGGGTTTCCTGCTTGGGTGTGGGGTTGGACTAGATAACTTACAAGGTCCCTTCCAACTCTGATTATCTGTTATCTGTTATTATCTGTTAAGTCTGCCATCTCTCATGGTAGTCTGTACTACTGTTGCAGTTGCAGTTTACACAGGGATTTTTTTCCCCTAATAGCCAACAGAAATCTATTTTCTTTGAATGTATACTTACTGTTTCTAATCTTGCCTTCTGAAGCAACACCGAACAATTCTATTCCATTCACTACATGGAAACTTTTTAGATAGTAGAAGAGAACTATCATGCCCACAGTCTAGTGCACTGGAGAATATAATGACACCTTTGGATTTATATTATGTCTATAGACTATTTATGTTTGATGTTGATTGATTTTATGATGTATGTCACTCGGAGTTAAGATGGGCAGCTATAGAAATCAAATAAATAAATTGTTATTTTGCAATTGCTTTATGGCAGGGGTTGCCAACCTTTTGGATCTCAGAGACCACTAAGCTCATAATTTTAAATCCTGTGGACCAGAGACCCTGGAAAAATCCCCCAAAAAGTCTGCAGGAAAATTCCCCATCCCATTTTCCTACCAATCAATCATTCTTTATTTGGGATCACAGGATACTGTCTCCAGCTCTGTTCTCAGGGAGAGATAGAGATAGAGATAGAGAGATAGAGATAGATAGATAGATAGAGAGAGAGAGAGACTGAGACTTTTGAGTTCATACAAGGAAAGCAAAAGAAACAGCAGAAATCTTTCTTTCTCTCCCCTAAACTCTGCCAGAAATTAGCCTTTGCTGGTGCAGCCTCTTGGAGCAGGATACCTTGCAGGGTCCCAAAGACTCATTTCTGGTGGAGTTTGGGGGAGAGAAAGAAAGACTTTTGCTGTTTTCCTTGCGTGCAGCCAAAAGCAGAAGAAGAAAGAAGCGGAAAGAAGCAGCCCGGTGGCTAGGCCAGGTGCGTGGGGTGTGTGGGGCAAGTTCCCCCCCTCCGCCCTTTCCCCCTCCCCTCACTACCTTGTGTTGTTCACAATGCAAGTGATGCAAGCCTTGTGTTCCCACAGGCCATGTGGGTGGCGCAGCCTTGTGTTCCCATGCAGCTTGGATTAATTGCATTGGGGGGTACTTTGGGGGTGACATTTCTCTGCGGACCACCAAAATTTTCTTGCAAACCACCAGTGGTCCCAAACCCACTGGTTGGCGACCACTGCTTTATGGCATGTTATTACCAGTAGCTGAATACTACTGAAATTCATTTGGATTTTTTAAAATTAACTACAACATAAATTTGAAAAATATGAAATACATAAATAAAATACTGGAAATGATATTAATGATATTTTCATGTTAGTCCGGAATGCCTCTTGTTTCCACTCTATTTTAATATATTTGTTTGAAAAAGGAAAGATTCAGTTCATATTTAGATCTATTATTAGAATTGATGATTGTCAGTACTGCTAAAGAAAACAGATTACCTACCTTTCCCAAAACATAGTAAATAATGTTCATTCAATCTCAAGATGGAAGAACAACAATATGATACAATCCCAGAATCTATTTGCTCACATGTAGGCTTTATAGTTGTTTCCAATCTTTTGGATCCTGATGTCATATTTGGAGTCTATGTAGGGTTCAGTGGTAGCATAGGTCTGGGTAAGGGCTACCACACTGGCTATATCCTGAAAATCATAATGGTTGTCTACTTTGACCTGTTTTCAACATTCAGAGGTATTTCGCGTATAGAAAGAAAAAGAAAAGAATAAGCAAGAATTAAATTTCTCAAAAAAATGGACACAGTGTTTCCAAGCAAAATAGATTTTTAAGAGCAATACATTACTAGCCATTCTTAACTATCAATAACAGTTGATGCTTAACAGTTAGGATAGTTAATTATCTGTCTGCATCAGTTTCCTCCAACTTCCACATTTGTCAATCATCCATAGACAGGAATTGATTGTTTGAGGCTATAACACAATGCAACCCATCTGGAGAGCAGCAGGTTGGAAAAGTCTTTTACATATAATTTTTCAGACAGATTAAATATTCTGAGTAAAATGAAGACATTCCTGTATATCCTGTCATATGTAGGAGAGTTCACGATATTCCATAAATAAAATTACCCTGATTTTTTTTTTTGATAAATTAGCCCAAAAGTAAAATCAATGGGCAAATTATAGAACTAATATACAATTTATGAAATCTTTCTACTTTTGAAACAAAGCATTGTCTTCAAATAATTTTTACTCTTTAAAATATCTTTTAGCTTATGATTTGAGTTTTATGAGTTTTTAAACTTGCGCTCAAGAGACTAACATACAGCATATACCTAAAATTAAGCAAACACTATGTGACAGACACCATATCACAAAAAATTCATAATAATTGCTTGAAGTTTTAATCTATTTTGTTAGAGAGTTTGAATTAAGCAATATTTGCATAACCATCTTCTAAAAAATGTTATCTTTTTCCAAGCTATATAAATAAAGCATGATCACCTTTCCCATGCCTGAATGAGCATGTCCAATTTTCACAACAACAGGAAATGTTGGCAATGTCAGCTGGGTAAAAGAAAAAGAAAGAAAGAAAATAGAGGGAGAGAGAGAGAGAGAGAGAGAAAGAAAGAAGAATTAAAAGTTACACAAACCAATGGATAATTCATTATCAAGTTCATGTTTCTCCATAGATAAACAAGTTACATTAGAAGCCTTTTGAAATGCCACATATTCTTCAAAGTACCTGAGGGCAGCTCAAGAAATTATACTTATTTACCAGAAGTGTCTGAACGATTCATCTTTCTTTTAAACTTCAACAAGCATTTTGCTGGCTGTAGTCCAATTTGGAAGGCTTAAGATATCTGAGCTACTAATCTATATGCTTATTTACTCCATTTTATTTATTGTTAAATTTAATGAATGAAATGATAATAATTTGTAGAATATGATATGAATTTTATAGGTGTGTATTATGTTTAGTACAGAGAAAATGTGATTTCTTCTCTTTCTTTTAGACACAGACACAATCTTAAACTAAATTACTGCTGCTTGCTGAATGATCTTATTGTATTTATGTAATTACCAATTATGCAGTTATGATACATATGAAAGAAATCTTGCCATTTGTTATGTCTGGAGCGTGGGCGCAAGGAACGGAGACGAGGCATCGGGTAGTGACTCAACTCTTTATTAGTGACTTCAGAACAGAGCAAAATACTTGGGCAGCAGCAGCCCTTTTATAGGGCTGGCTGCTGTCACAACAGCCAATGCTTTTGAGTTTGCCACGCTGGGAACGGCCAATCAGCGGCGCCCGTTAACAGCCAATCAGATAGGCCAGAATTGACCAATCAGGATCCGCTGCTCGCGGGCCAATCAGAAGTGCAGGATTACGAACCTGCCGTAGAAGTAAAACTATTAGGATTTTAAAACAGTGTGTTTGCTTAGTCCGTAACACCCCTCCCCCTAGGTTCCGTCTGAGGGGTGGGGTGATGTACTCTTTCAAATATGCAGGTCGTTTCACCTGTCTGTCCGATCTGTGTTGCTCCAACAGTCCTTGCCCAGGCTCTGGTTCCGCTGGGCTGTTCACTGAGCTCAACGGCCCGGCTGGGTCGACTGTTACGCTGGGCGACTCGGGGCTGTCATCCCTGCTCCCATCAAGACTGGCTCCTGAATTTCCTGGATTAGTTGCTATTGCAGGGCTGCTTTGTGGCGAGGCAGTCATCTGGTCCAGCCCTCCTTTGGAAGGTGAATATCCCGGGGTTGGTTGCATTGACTCCCGGTTTTCGAGTCCCGTGTCGTATGCTAGCTCTTTTTCGGCCCCCTCGCTTTCCCTTCCCCCCCAGGTTTGAGGTTCGGGACTTGTGATGGGGGTAGGAGCTAGTCTGGAGCGAAGTTGGTCAATGTGGCGCTTCCACATTTTCCCATCAGCAGTTTGTAAATCGTAGGAACGGGGCCCTGTAAGTTGAGTTATAGTAACGGGGACCCACAATGGGTCACCCGAGAAGTTTTTCGCAAAAACTGAGTCGCCTGCCCTGAATGTGCGATACCTGCTGCTGGACCCCAGGGGTTGTTCCAGCATGTAGGCGGGATGTAGGCGGTCAAGATGTGAGCGAATTTTCCGTCCCATCAGGAGTTCGGCTGGGGTTTTGTTTGTGGTGCTGTGTGGGGTAATGTGTTGGAGGAGGAGCATCCTGGTCACTTTCTCGTCGATGTCTCCTCTCTCCATCTTGTGTAAGGTTTTCTTTACAAATTGGACCATTTTCTCAGCTCTCCCATTGGCCGCAGGGTGAGCAGGCGAAGTTAAGGCGTGGCGTATTCCCCGATCTGCGAGGTACTGTTCAAATGCAAGAGCAGTGAATTGGGGTCCATTATCTGAGACCAGGACGTCGGGCAACCCATGCGTAGAGAATAGTTTATTTAGTTTTTTGACGACTGCTTCTGTGGTGGTGCTCTTCATTTTGTGGACCTCTAGCCAATTGGAATAGGCATCCACAGTTATGAGAAATGTATGCCCCTTGGTAGGTCCCGCAAAATCGATGTGGATGCGGGACCAGGGACCCCGGGGTGTTTCCCATTCAGTTGGCGGGGCTCTTGGCGGAGCTGAGCGGGTTTCCTGACACTTGCTGCAAGTGGCCACCCAAGTTTCTATCTGCTTATCTATACCTGGCCACCAAGCATAGCTCCTCGCTAGTGCCTTCATTCGCACGATACCAGGATGTCCATCGTGCAATAGTTTCAGGACTTTGTGCTGTAGCCGCTCTGGAATGATGACTCTGCCTCCCCACAATATGCATCCTTTTTGTGAGAAGAGTTCTGTCTGGTGGTTTTTGAAGGGTTTGAAGGTGTCGTTGGGTTCGTTGTCAGGCCAACCTCTTTCTACCCAGCTGAGGACTTGTGCCAAACAAGGATCCTTTCTTGTCTCCGAGGCGATATCTCATGCAGTCAGTGGTGGAGAAGGAAGGGTTTCGATTTGTAGCATAGTTAGGGTTGGAGCTGGATCGTCTATGACTTCGGGTAGCGGTGAGCGGCTTAAAGCGTCAGCGTGGGGAATGGCTTTTCCCAGGCGGTGTAGCAATTGGTAATCGTATGCGGCTAGAAACTCCAACCAACGCGTCATTCTAGGCGATAAGATGTGGGGCGTTGGTTTGTCTCCTGCTAAGATGCCAAGTAACGGTTTGTGATCGGTGATTATGGAAAAGGGTCTTCCATATACATACTCATGGAATCGCTTGATCGCAGCCACAATAGTGAGGGCCTCTTTATCAAGTTGGCTATAGTTCCTCTCAGTTTTTGATAAAGTCTTTGAAAAAAATGCAATTGGTGCCTCAGTACCGTTTGGTAGGATGTGGCTCAGGATTGCTCCTACCCCAAACGGTGAGGCATCGCAGGTGACGGTTAAAGGTAAAGTCTCGTTGTATTGTATCAATACAGCATCTGAAGTTAAAAGGTCCTTGACCTGCTGAAAGGCATGCTCTTCCCGTTGTCCCCAGACCCAGGAAGCCTTCTTGTCGAGGAGCCTATGCAGGGGTTCAGCAATGGTCGCTTTCTGGGGCAAGAAGATGTTATAAAAGTTAATGAGTCCTAGGAAGGCTTGGAGGTCTGTTTTATTCCTAGGTCTTGGGGCGTTTTTTTTATTGCGGATAGTTTTTTTTCAGTTGGGTGAATTCCGTTTGTCAAGAAGGTAGCCGAGGAATTCAACCTTCTCCGTACAGAGTTGGCACTTGTCCTTCTTGACCTTCAGGCCAGCGTCTTTAAATTTCTGTAGAACCAATCTGAGTCATTTTTCTAACAGGCCTCTAGTAGGGGCAGCTATTAAAACATCATCGAAGTATAGCACGACCCCTTTTATGCCTTGCAGTAATCTCTCCATCAAACTCTGGAAAATGCCAGGTGCTACACTTACTCCGAACTGAAGTCTATTACATTTGAAGGCCCCTCTATGCGTAACTATAGTCTGGGCTTCGGCAGTCTGGGCGTCTACGGGCAACTGCTGGTACGCCTGAGCTAGGTCCAATTTTGCAAATATTTTTCCACCTCCCAGGGAATGAAGAAGGTATTGGACCACAGGTACAGGGTAAGCACTCTGCTGGAGCGCGTGATTGAGGGTGGCCCAGTAATCCCCACAAATTCTCAACGATCTGTCTGGTTTTATGGGGGTCACAATTGGGGTCTCCCATCGAGCGTGGTCAATCGGTTCTAACACGCCTTGGGCTATTAATTTGTCCAATTGTTCATCAATCTTTGGCTTGAGTGCAAAGGGCACTCGACGAGGCTTAAGGCGAATGGGCGCAACTTCGGGGCTGAGGTTAAATGATATGGGGGATCCCTTGTACTTGCCTAGCTTCTCACTGAACACGTCCTGGAATTCCTGGACGAGGGCTGCTTCCCAGTCATTGCTCCCAGTCTGGTTGATGCCAGCTAGCTCAATTCCTAGCGGTGCAAACCACTGCAAACCCAGAAGGCTGGGTCGATCTCGATCGACGATGGTCAGAGGTAGGTTTGCGGTGTGGTCTTTGAATGTTACTCGGACGTCGCTGGATCCGGCAACCGGGATTCGGTTTCCCTGGTAGTCTTTCAATATGATATTTTGAGTGCTGAGGTCCTAGCGGCGGATGTCAGGGATTAGCTGCCTGAAGGTTTTCCAGGAGACCATGGATAGGGATGATCCAGAGTCGACTTCCATAATGCATGGACGATTCTCGATAGTGACCCTCACTCGGATTTTTCTTGCATCAAGGGACGATGCGTGGCCGATGATGATAGTCTGATGCGCCTCTTCACGTCTGGATGAAGTGACAGGTGCTCGGTTTCTGTAGTGTAGGTTCCATTGAGTGCCTTGGCGGTCCCGATTTTCTAGTGGGGTGCCTGCGGTCTGTCGGAAATTGTTTTCTCTCCTGGTTGGGCTGGGTCCTCGCTTGCTTCTGCAGACCTTCGCGATGTGGCCCCTCTTTCCACAGGAACAGCAGAGTGCGTCTAGAAATTTGCAATCAGATCGCGGGTGGCTACCCCCGCACCTGGAGCATTGGTACGGGGATTTCCGATTCCGCTGGTCCCGCTGGTCACGTTCTGACCTGAGTCTGTTGACCTCTTCTTCCTCGCTTTCTGATGAGGATTCGAGGTCCTCATGGTGAGTGGTTGTTGCGTGCCTCTCGGAAAACGATGTAGCGTCGCTGGCAAGTTGGCGGTGCGGTGCGTTTGCTCGGCGCATTCGAGCAGCTGACTTCCTGGTTGCTTCTGCTGCAGTAGCGTTGGCGATGACATCTGTGAGGGCGATGTCTCCCTTCGCCATTATCTTGCTCTGGGTTGTGGGGTCTTTGAGACCCAAGGCAATCCGATCTCTCATGGCTTCTTCGAGGTTGGTGAAGCCACAGAGTCCACCTAGGTTCCTAAGGTCGGCGATGAAGTCTCCAACACTCTCGCCTTCCTGTTGGTCCCTCTGGTAAAACTCGTGTCTTCGGATGAGCGTTGGTACCGCTGGGGCATAATGGGCCCGGAGGATTGGGGTGAGGTTGTCCCAGTCCATTGTCTTGACTTCTGCTGGTTTTGCAAGTGCCTTTGCCATTTTGAAAACGGCAGGCCCGCAATGGGTCAGGAATACAGCTCGTTTCTTGCCAGGCGAAGCATCCTTCAGATTGTTGGTTTCCAGGAACATCTGAAACCTGTCCATATACGAGTCCCAGTCTTCGTTTGCCAGGTCAAATGGAGCGGGTGGTATGGCACTGCTGGTCATTCTGCCGCTTCTTTTGGTGCGCTCTCAGCCACGTGCTCTGTAGGGTTCGTTGGGTGTTCAGTCAGCTCTTAATGTCTCCGCATCCCACCTTCGTCGCCAGTGTTATGTCTGGAGCGTGGGCGCAAGGAACGGAGACGAGGCATCGGGTAGTGACTCAACTCTTTATTAGTGACTTCAGAACAGAGCAAAATACTTGGGCAGCAGCAGCCCTTTTATAGGGCTGGCTGCTGTCACAACAGCCAATTCTTTTGAGTTTGCCGCGCTGGGAATGGCCAATCACCGGCGCCCGTTAACAGCCAATCAGATCGGCCAGAATTGACCAATCAGGATCCGCTGCTCGCGGGCCAAACAGAAGTGCAGGATTACGAACCTGCCGTAGAAGTAAAACTATTAGGATTTTAAAACAGTGTGTTTGCTTAGTCCGTAACACCATTCACAAATGTTAGTCTGTATAATCAGCATAATGATGTGATGAAAAATATATAGACAGCAAAAGATCATGAACTAGAAGTAAAAATAAGCTTCGTGTTAACCCATTGGGTTTTAACACACTGTTTACTCAGATAATGTATGAAATGGAAAATCTGATTTACAGTATACCACATGGGCACAGTTTTGCTAAATATTCCAGAATTGATTATTATTCTAAAGCAGGGGTGTCAAACTGGATTTCTTCAGGGGCTGGATCAGCATTGTAGTTCTCCACGGGCTGTCAGGAAGGGAGGGGTAGGGAGTGGGGGGAGACGGGATGGATGCTCCCTGGAGCACCCTGCTGGCCAAAACAGGTAGGGAGCGAGACGGGGTGCACACTGCCTCCCTGCGCCTCATTTTTACCTTCCCTGGCCTTCAGCACTCTGCCAGCCAAAAACAGATCATGTAGAGGCCTCCAGAGGCCTCCGTGGAGCCTGTTTTTGTCTGACAGATTGCTGCAGCAGACAGGGGAAGCCAAAAACAGGCTTTGGGGCCCCCACATGTGGCCAGTTTTGACTTGCAGAGACACCACTGGCTGGTCCTTTGATATTTCCAGGTGGGTCCCATGG